CAAGGCTACACCTACTCACTCTAATAAGGGCACATCTCCTAACATTATCACTCAGTATAAACCTATGGGGCCAATTTCATTCAAACACCACACCTCCTCTCTCAAAAAAAAATTAAAAAACAACAATGGAGCCTTATAACAAAAGATAAATTGTGTCAATTGAGTAAGAAACAACTAAGAATGTCTGTATCCTCAATTCAGAGAAATAAATATATTTGTTAGTAGTGTTTTAGGGTGACTATTGCTGTGATAAAGCATCCTGAACAAAAGCAATTTGAGGCGAGGGACAAAGTTGTTGTTTTTGTTTGTTTGTTTTTTTACTCATAGTTGAACATAATGAACAGTTCATTATCATATTCAGCAAAGGAAGGAACTCAGAGGCAGGAGCTGATGCAGAAGCCATGGAGGGGTGCTGTTTACTGGCTCACTTCACATGGCTTGTTCAGCCTGCTTTCTTATAAAACACAAGGCCACCACCCCAGGGATAGCACTACCCACAAAGGGCTGGGCCCGCCCCCACTGATGACTAATTAAGAAAATGCCCTACAGCTGGATCTTATGAAGGCATTTTTTTACAATTGAGGTTCCCTCCTCTCAGATGATTCCTGCTTTGTCAAGTTGACATAATACTTGCCAATACAACTAGTAAATATTGAGTCAATTCCATACTGCCACTACAATCTCATTTTTTTCAACACATAAAAAGAAAAAAATGGCACATTCTAGATTAACCACATTTATAAAAAAAAAACATCTTATGACCATTTATTTCACTTAGAGGTTAATTAATACATGGCTCATTGCAATACATGGATTTGTTCACCTCTCAATCCTCATCACAGGTGCTCCTATAATTTTTAGACTACTGATAAATACTGGTTCAAGATCTTCCGTCCTACCCTCCTTTAGATTTCAACAACCCATTCATTCAGCTCTGTACTCCCTCAAGTAAGCATCCTATCATTTCAAAACCCCATTTCCCTTTCAAGGTAGCTACTTCTGGAGGCAAAACAAAGCCTGGATTCACCACTTAACAAATACATGATCAAGGCCTTCTTCTATGGTTCATATATTACTGGTTCCTTATCTGCAAAATGGTGACAAAAAGGACTGCTGTCATATACTAGACATATGACAGCATATGACAGCGCTTAATATGTGGTGTTTATTATAGGGTTTATTTTTTTAACATTTTCCAGTTTATTTTACCTTGTGTGCATGTGTGTGTGTCTTGTGGTATGTGTAGGCACATGAATTTGGGTGTCCACAGATGCTAGAAAGGTTGAATCACCCTGGAGCTAGAGTTACAGGCTTGTAAGCCACCTGATGTGGGTGCTGGGAACCAAACTCGGGTAAAGTCAGGAAAAGTGGGGTAGGAAGAATCACATACATATGAATAAAAAGAATACAACCAAGGTACTTGTGTAGGGTAAAGGCTAAAAAACCAGTACATCTTCCAAATATGAGTTGTCATTAGGCATTATAAGCAGAAGCTTAGTTATTGCTGAGAGTTTTACACACACATATCAATGTGTATATTCAACAAAAAAAGAAGCTATCAAAAAACCTCGAGCTGTATATTTTCAATTGGGCAGCATTTCAATAAGAAAAGAAAAAAAAAAGACAAGAAAAAAAAAGTCTTCAGAGGGTGAAATTGCACAGTATGTAATAAACACTTGCTACCAAACCTGAGTTTAATCCCCAGAATCCATGTGATGGAAGGAGAGAACCTACTCTTGTAAACGGTCCTCTGACCTCTACATGCACACTACAACAAGGAGGGGTACATGGGAGGGTTTGAAGGGGGAAAAGGAATGTCGAAAATGATGTAATTATAATCCTAAAAAGAAAGTCTTAAAAAAACAAACATCGTCTTTGGCCTGGAATAGCCCATCATACTATATCCAGAAAAGACAAGGCATACTTGATCTCTGAAATGTCTTATCAAATATAAAGTGGTCTTTTTCATACTTGCTTAGATATATAATATATTATGAACTACTTAATTATATAATACATAATTATCAAAATATACTATTTATAATTATATATACATATATCCATGCCTAACAATGGCTAACATATGCTTACAAAACAGATTTACTGTATAATCATATATATATATATATATATATATACAATGCATAAATCTTTAAGCATCTCACTAAGATGTTGAATATGCAAATATATTGGCACAATTATTTTTCATATAATGAACTAAAAAAGAGGATCACATTATATTTTAACTATAACATGAACTCCAGAGTAATCTGTTCATTTGATTCTAAAACATAAATCCTATGAGGCACATCAGATTCTCTATTTTTATATAATAGATCATAGATTTGAAGGTCTGATTTTAGCTGGGAAAAGGATATACTCTAACAAGTCAAATGACTAAACAGCTGCCGATGCTAAAAAGAGTTTCATATTATTCTGAGTTAGGCACTAATTTATGCTTTAAATTTTCCATCCTGTGATAATCATTTTAGATGCACGAAAGGGAAAAGCAACCATACTTTGAATGCTGATCTGAGTCTCTCATTTAGTGACAAGCAGAAAAACATACATTTTAGATGCAAGCCCCAGCTGACTGGCTTGAACCTGGAATTCCTTACCCTCCTGCTTCCATCTCCCAAATGCTGGGATTACAGCTGTGTGCCACCAGGCCTGGTTCATGCTGTACTGTGGATTAACCCTAGGTTTTCCTGTATGCCAGGTGTAAGCACTCTACCAAATGAGCTACACCTCCAGCTGGAGTATTTTTATCTTTCCACTCACTTGTTTGTTAGAATACTGTCCTTATATACACTTGGATTCGATAATACATAGTACTAGCAACAGAGGCCTGAAGAAGAGCAGTTAGGAGTGAGAATCCTATGGCCCTGGGAAATCCATTTGGAATATGAACATTGATCCCTTCTGACTGTATGTACATCTCTCTGAGTTATAAGGAGGAATGCACCTTAGTTTTTTTGCCCTTATGATCTACATGAAAAAGGTTACTTTAAAAACTAACCCTTGAGTTTGCTGCAAGCGAAACTGCATCTTGCTAGGTATGGCAACTCATACTTTGTAAGCTCGGTGCTTGGAAGTTGGAGGCAGAAGGATGAGGCGTTCCAAGTCATCCTCAGCTCCACAGGAAGTTTGCCAAAAGCCAGGACTCTATGAGACCCTCTCTCAAACCACTTCCCCTCCAAAATTAAAAAAAAAGGCTAAACTTAGGTCAATGAATGACAAAGACTAGCAGAAAATATTTAAACTACACACATACATATATATGATAAGCAAGTAATAAATATGCGTGTATGTATGCGTGTATGGATATGTATGTAGACATGTCTGTATCTCCTAAATCCTTATGACCTAAACCCCACCACTAGGACTAAGTACAGCTGTAGCTTATTTCATGGGGTGCTTGCCTCATATTCACAATGGCTTCAATCCCCAACACTGCATAACCCGGCTGTGGTGGCACAAACTGTAATCCCAGTGCGCTAGTGGTAGACGCAAGTGATTAGATGTTCACTGCCATCTATTCCTTGGCTACACAGTGAGGTTGAGGCCAGCCTGGGATTTCTGAGGCTTTGTATCAAGAAGTAATAATAAAAAAGGTAAAACCCACAACTAGAAATGGAAGCTTCTATTGACAATACAGAACAAAAAAAGAGTCATAGCAGAAAGGGACATATTATGTTCACAAAAGAGTCAAATTGAACTTGGAAACTAACCTCCTATTTTTTCAAAAGTAATGCCCACCTAAGAATGCTTTTAGCTTTGGCAATTTATTACAACTCAAGGAAACTCATTAAAAGAAGAGCATTTCATTAGGGAGCTTTTCATTTTTTTTTTTAAATTTCAAACTACAGTAATACATCTTAACGAGGTATTCAATGCACTAAATTTATTTTGATTGCATTTATTTTAACTTCTTAATCATCCTTAATCAAGATCCAGTAGCATTCAAGCAATTTTTGAGGCTTAGTTACTGACAAAGATCTGCAGATAAGTTTTCAACATAAAAATAATTCAAACATCCAAATTCAAGAATTGAAAAGTCATTGTATTAAAAAAGATCCATGATGTAAAACACAAAACCATATTGTAATGGATTCTAAAATCAAAAGGTAGCAAGTATTTATGCGGAAAAGGCAACATAAAAGCTTTCATCATTTACAGATACATAATACTACTAATGGATGATACATTCAAATGATTACATGTTTCGAGATGATTAAATGTTTTGAGTCCAGTAGCTGAACTCATTTCAGATCCAAACTGTATCAGTAAAAAGGAAAAAAAATCACAAAATATTAAAGCTGTGATCTTAAAATTAATACAAAATAACATGAGGCTAAATCCTAATACTTTGATTAGATACATTCTAATAAAAACATAGTCTCTGAGCAAGATGCACTCTGCAAGAAGCAGCTATGAACCTTCAAGTACTTCATGAATACTTGATGGTTGATGTAGGACTTATAATCCAACTGACTTTGAGAGCGATGCACTACAGCCAGTACTCATAACCACACACTACTATCCCAAACCCCAGGGTACTGCCGAACACCTGCCCATTCACTACCTTTCAAAACCTAGATGGGAAGCCATCACAAAATCAACTGAGTGGGAATGAAAAATCACACCCCAAACGCCTCGTTCATGTGTAACTGGATAGACATTTAATAGGTCACTGTTTTGCTTCTTTCTTTCCATCCAACCTCTTTCTTCCCGTTATACAACTTTTCGCCTGTACACAAGTATGTTGGCTTAGAAAACAGCGTTTGACTGGAAAGAAGTAAGTTAATGATCACTTACCACGATCATGTTTATCCCAAAGGTGCCTTTCCTCTGGGTTTTACATATCAATCCTATTTCATTAAGAGTCACTAGCAGAACCAGACAATTTTAATTAAATGCTCACAGATAGAGAACATTGCTTCAGTTTCAAAACAGCTCAAATACATACATAGTTTTCCTTATAAAAATCATGTACTTGCCTTGTGTCTGCATTTAAGTACAACTCCATAGGCTCCTGTAATTAAAAAGAAGCAAGCAATCAGAGACATGCATACAAACTATTGTTCTGTGTTTATATAGCTTATTAGCCTATGTTTGAACGACAACACCTACGACAATATTCTAGGGTGATGGCATCATGAGCCACATACAAATACAGCAGGGATTTCTTACTCTGGTTTGTATAAACCAAGACTATATAAGTATTTTGAAATGTTTCTTTTTTACAAAAAATTTAAAATGCCACACACACATTTTTATTTTAGGCAAGACAGGGTCAAATAAATCAATAAATAGACCACGAGGCTATAGGCTATGTGAACTGGGCATAGTGGTGCACACAGCACTTAGGAGGCTGAGGCAAGAGGGCTGCCATCAGCATGAGGCCCAGCCTGGACTACATAGTGAATACCAAGCCGACCAGGGATACACAGCAAGACAACATCTCAAAACATGTATGTTTTGAGCAAATAAAATAAAAATCAACTCAATAGGTTTTAGCAAACTTAAAACTTAAAAGCTACTAATTCCCCAAGAGTAAGGGCAAACACAGATCCTACACAAATATGCTCCTAGGAGTCAAGTCAAGTCTCTTCTAGAATACTGTAATTTTATTTCCTAACAGGCAAAATATCATAGGTTGGAAGTAGGGGTGAGGTTCACTGGGATAGTGCTTTTCTTCCCCTGGCTTCTATGTCCACTATCTCTCTCTCTCACACACACACACATACCACCACCACCACCACCACCAACAACAACAAAACCTACCATCCTCAGGAATCTCACTAAACAATAAGACTTGCTACCCTCTAACCACAAAAGTTCAGCCCCACGCACTCCCACTGTCTCTGCTTTATTTTGACATAACCTCTTCCTATCTCTTGAGTTACTCATCCTATTATGTAGATGATAAATTCACCTTGCTAGAGGCAGAACAAAGAAACAATACCATGGTAGGAAAGTACCCTGGAAACTGAGGTTAAATGTGAAAAATCTTTTACAATGTGAAAAATCTAATCAAAGCAATCAAGACATAACATATATGATGATGGAGTGCTTAAGACACACTACAAATGTTTTTATAACTAGACAGGCAAATCCTGCATGCTACTATGAGAAGGGGGTGGACCTGAGTGAGACAAAGCTGGGAGACATGTCTCCAAGGGTCTAGGACACCTTATGTGGCTCCTTCAGTTTGGTAGAGAGGCATGAATCTTAGAATGATAGTTAAGATGGAACCAGCACACGAACTCCACAATCATCAGAAAACAGTCAATTCACAGCCCATTTTTCCACAGGAACGTATACTTGACAGATGCATTTCCTAACACAAAACCAACTGAGGCAGTTTACAAGCAAAAAGGGAAACAACAATGTCTGGCTATAACTTAAATTAACAGAATCTATAAAGAACAGCCTTGCAATCTTGGCTAATCTAAACCAATATAAAAAGATTATCATTAACATATGCTTGGAAAAAATAAGGTTATAATCTAGACAGTCAGACCCAGACTTTGAACATTCCAACCTTGTTACGCTCTAATTGCCCTTTTCCCTTTATTGCATGAGTCTTTAACTGACAAAAAGGCAAATTTTATAAACCAGGTAAGATAATGATAATGAATTTTTGTTACATAAATCAATGACAAAATGAAAAGGAATTAACTAGTGAAGGAAGGAGGAGCATTTTTTGGTATGGTTTGAGATTCAAACCTTGAAACAAGTACCCAATCAATAATCATATTCTTATTGTTTCTATTTACTTGAGAAGGATTTGCCAACCTTAATATTAAAATCTTTAAAAGCTCTGTAAAAATTTAAAATTTTTGAAATTCAAATTTTATTTTAAAAACCCAAAATACAAAACTTTTGTAACATCTGCTTTTTTATAAATGCTAAGAAACCACATTTCAACTGATATCCTATTAAAATAATGTTTTACAAATTTCTGTAAAGTTATCTCTAAGAGTCAAAATGACTAAGCAAGAATATCAGCATGATTTCTTTTTCTAAGTGTCAATTTTTGAGAAATTAATTATACTTTATCAAATCAATAGTATTGCAGGGTTATAAAACCATCATGTTGGTCAGATGTAAGGGGAGGAGGACCTCCCCTATCAGTGGACTGGGGGAGGGGCACAGGAGAAGAAGAGGGAGGGAGGGCGGGATTGGGAGGGGACTATAGCTGGGATACAAAGTGAATAAATTGTAATAAATAAAAAATTAAAAAGCATCATGTTATACATTACAAGGAAAGAAAAATTAATGGTATTAAAACCATTCCATTTATACTGATTTAAGATGTTAAAAAATATAACCAAACCATGTACTTGAAAACTTGTAAACTACGATCTGTCATTCTCAAAGAATAACAATGGAAGTTATTTATGTATTTGTTTACCATATCGTAAATCAAAGTTAGCATATACAAATAAATTTAAAGTTATTTAAAATAAGATTGGATGATTTAAAATGTAACAATAACAAAAATATATAGACTAAAGAAACTATACTAGTGAAAAGAATGAAATCAGGTCAGTTTTAGAATATAGCTGATTGCCAGGTGCTCATGCCTTTAATCGCAGCACTCCTGAGGCAGAGGCAGGTAGATCTCTAAATTCAAGGCCAGCCTGGTCTATGAAGTGAGTTCCAGGACAGCAAAGGCTACACAGAGTGGCTTGGTCTAAAACTAGTTTTCACTTGGAGAGTAAGAACCACATAGCTGAAGAACAGTTTTATTTTTATTACTACACACTTAGGTGCATATCTGAATTGAAATGCTAAATTGAGAGGATCTGAATAAATTTTTTTGGCGATGTATAAAATGATATAACTCTCCAAACTTCAAATGTAAAATTCTAACTTACCTTCACCTACAACCCCAAGGATCTCAAATTTATTCATCACATTACCGATGTTAGGAATCTTCATGAAGACAAACTCCTCTTTTGATGTAAGCCATAAAACATGGCACCAAAAAAGGAACTTCTAAAAAGTCCCAACGAAGAAATTCTCAAACCTTGGCAAGAAACTTTCATACATTTGTTCAATGATGAAATATTAAATAAGTCCCTGAAAGAAGAAACAGAATGAAATGCCATTAGTATTAATGGTACAATACTCAACCTATCACATCCTTTTTAAAATGATTTTTAATCCGTGTTAATGTTTCATATGCTGAAAAAAAAAGGAGGAAGAACTTCCACTGAAATGAACCTCTTAGTATTTAAAATTAATACCATAACCACAATTAGGGAAGGACCAGTTAACTTTTGAAAATAGTACTTTACCTATTGTCATCAATCTAAAGACAAAACCAAACATTGTACTCAAGCACACTCAACCACTTAGATCTTAGACATTTTTCTTTAACACTGATCGAAACTTTAATTAAAGACAGAGTCTTACTATGTAGCCCTGGCTGGAACTCAGAGATCCACCTCTGACTCCAGTGTGCTGAGACTAAAGATGTGTGCCATCACATCTATCTGACAAGAAACTTCTCTATCTATATTCTCAAATTGAACAGGTAAGTATCCAGAGAATAATGAGACCTTTATTTCTGTTTTTAATTTTTTATTTACTCTTTGGTAATTTCATACATGAATACATCTCACACACATGCAAACACACACACACAGACACACAGACACACACACACACACACCTAACCTGCTTCCCTTCAACCCAAACCTTGAACTCCTCCTAGACACCCACTACCACTTTCCTTTCCTAAATTCATATATTTTTTTCTTTTGACTAATCCACAGAATCTAAGAGCATAGCCTGCATGTTTATGGGTATAGGGCGCCATCCACTGGAGCATGGACAACCTACCCTTGGCCACATCCCTGAAGAAAGTTGACAGTGTCTATCAACTGCCAATGTCTTCTCTGTTAGGGGTAGGGCCTTATCAACTCTATCTTCCCCAGGCTGAAAAGAGATCTTCATTTCATAATCTCACAAAAGGAAAATGTAATATGAAAGGGCAAGAAAAAGATATAAATGTTTATGTCCCCAAATATACATATTCCCTAGCTCTGTGCCCTGAGGGAGCATCTAAGTAATAGTATACCAACAGCTCTGAGCCCAGTGTTATACTCTTAATGAAAAGATTCCCAGTTCCTTGGAGAAGTGACTAATTTAAGACAAGTGCAGAAACAAAATGCAGAGCCAGAAAGTAAGGAAATGTTCATAGAACAATCAGAGCATGTCAAATGGACTCAGGAGCCAAGCTAAATTGACTCATATTGGCGATATGAGTAATAAGCTCAACAGTTAAAAATAAAGATATTAATAAATTATATTCTGTAGAATAAAATAAAAACATGTCTATAAATACATGCAAGCAAAGCTTTTTATGAAGTTTTATCACAAATAATAAAGGAAGTGATGGAATTACAAAATCTCCATTTGATAGTCATTCTAGTAATAATTACTTTAGGTAAGTGTCATCAATATGTGCTAAAACTTATATTTGAAAGTTACCATCTATCCACAAGGCACCTATTAATTACAAAAGGACAAAGAGCAGTTTTATATTGAAGAATCCTGCCATGTGCATTATAATTAAGTGATCAAAGTTAACATGGTCAATAACAGAAGAAATCAACATCACGTGTCTCCTGAGAGAACACATTACATCACTACTTCTATGGCAATTCTAGCAGAAATGCAAAGCCTAAATAAATCTAACCAGGTGTGGTGTCTATGACTGTAATTTTAGCACTTGGGATGCTGAAGCCAGAGGATCTGAAGTTCATACCTAGACTTGGTCAGATTGTGTGTTCAAGGGCAAAACAAAATAAAACAAAATTTAAATGCTTATAGATTAGACATTACTGATTTTGATAATACTTAGGTTATGGAAAACAATGCTCTAGTTTTTTTTGTTTGTTTGTTTGTTGTAGTTGTTTTGTTTAAAAAAAAAACTTGCACTACTTCTACAACAGTAACAAATTAAAAATGTTTTAAAAGAAATAAATTTAAATAAAGAAAATTCTTTGTTACCTATATAATCTCAAATTTAAAAAATAAGAGTACCCCATGTGATATGTAGCAGGAACTATTCTTTTGAACATAATGGTGGAAATGTAAACTAGGACAAGACGTATAATTAAAATGTTCATAATTGCTATTTAAATGTTCTTATTCTGATAAATATATGTGACCATAGAGACCTGCAACAGAGAGAGTGAAACATCCCTTTAATCCCAGCACTCAGAAAGCAGAGGCAAGAGGATCTCTGTGTTCAAGGCCAGCCAAGTCTGCACAGTGAGATGTTATCTCAAAAGAAAAAAGAAAGAAGGAAAGAAAAAAAGAGTACCTGCAATCAATAGCCTTAAATGTGACTTATCAGACATAGTTTTGTTTTAATTAAATACAATGGGGTGGAGATATGGCTCAGATGGTTCAGAGAACTTTGTTCTTACAAAGGATCCATGTTTTGTTCCCAGCACCTACAAAAGCTGCTCACAAATGCTTACAACTCTAGCTCCAAAGGATCCACTGCCCTCTTCTGGCCTTCTGGGGTACTGCACTCATGCGAATACATCAATAAAACAATGAATTCTACCTATTCATATTTATCTTTAAAATTATTAAAACATCTTGTTAGGTTCTAGGCCTCCCAGAAAAGTATAGAGCACATGCACATACACAGACTGATAAAATATAGAGGATTCAAAAGAGATACAAAGCAGAAACTACAGATACTATCTATAAATGTAAAGGAAGTCAGGAATGGTGGTGCATACCTGTAATCCCAGAATTCAGAAAGAAGGTAGAAGGAGGGCAGCCTGGACAACAAAATGCACATAATGAAAGGAAATAACCAACTACCAAGGGATGTTCTCTGACCACACATGTATACATAGACAGAAATTACATGATATATGATACAATGTGAGGAAGAGAAATGGGAAGAGTGGGAAGGGAAGGAAAGGGAAGGGAAGGGGTGTTAGTTCACATTACTCCAGTTTATATTCCCATCATCTTGTCTAAAAGAACAAGTCCTTTCCTACTTACCTACCCTACATGGGACACTCATTTTTTTTAAAGTTTCAGATACCACAGGTAGCAAAGATAATTTCTTTGTTTACATTTATTTCTTCCTTTTAAAGCAGTTATTGTTTTTAGAAGTCTGATTTAGGAAGAAATGGGAGGGGACGGGAGCAAAGGAGGGAAAAGAAAACTGACAGAATAATAACTGGTAAACTGTTAGACGTTTAAGGGTCTAACAAGGCAGCTGAACATAGGCTTCATATATAAATATCAATTATATTTGTCAGCCAGTAAAAAACAAATAGTAGACCACATTTACAAGAACCAACAGAAGAATTTAGGATTCAGCATGACAAAACATATCTGAGATCTCTAATGCACACACATAAAACTATATTTAAAGGAAAAAGAAGACCTAAATAAATAAAAAAGTATTCACATTTTAAGGCTAAGATGATTGGATGCTATAAAACTGTCAATTCATTTCATGTTAATCCATACAGATAATGCAGCTGTCCCCATGTGGCTGCTGAGAATTTAAGACAAGCTGCTTTCAAAATCTACAGTTACAGTAGCCTCTACGCTTTTTCATAAGGAGAAAAGAATTAGAAAAGAATGGAAGTCAGGCCTAGGCAGAGAATTTGCGTGGCTACTCTACAGAATATATTGAGAGTTCTAACAGAGCAATAGAAATTTCTTCCATCTAAACACAATTCTTCAACACAGTGGTTCTCAATCTTCCTAATGCTGCAACCCTTTAATGTAGTTCCTCATGTTGTGGTGACCCCACCCAAAAAAATATTTTCATTGCTACTTCCTAACTTTAATTTTGCTATGGTTACAAATTGTAATATAAATATTTTTGGAGACAGAGTTTTATCAAAGGGGCCGTGACACATAGAATGAGAACTGCTGCTTTAAGAGGTTACTATACTTTCAGTGAAACTTATAGTACAATCATGTGTTGCTGTTGTTTATTAGATGGATGTCACAAGTATAGTCTAAGCATCAAACTCATGGCAATCCTCCTTCCTTAGCCTCTCAAGTGCTGGGGTCACAGGCATATGTTTGATTATCTGTCTTGTGATGCTACAGTTTTGGGGGAAAGAACCCAAGCTATTTTATTATTTATTTAAAAAATCATTTCAGATTGTCTCCCACGTCCCAGGGAATGGGTAAGTAAGACCCACAATGGTTGGTGAGATGGCTCAACATGTAAAACACTTGCCACACAAGCTTGATAACCTAAGTTCAGATCCCTGGAGCCCACAGTAAATGAAAGACTAGACCTCTAACCTCTACTCTCATGTCACCATAGTAAACACACACACACACACACACACACACACACACACACACACACACACAC